TCCTGCCCAAAAATAGCCCTGTACCTATTAGAGTGCACCAACTCACCGGTGTGATGTTTAGAGTGTCAGGCTAGGATCTGGGAGCCCTGGCTTCAGATCCCCTCTCTGCCATGAAGCTCACTGGGGGAACTTGAGCCAATGACTTTCTATCAGCCTGGCCTGCCTCGCTGGGCTGTTGTGAGGATAAAATGTGGAAGAGAGAAGTATAATTCTGCTCCGAGTTCTTTTGAGGAAGGCAGAGGTGATGAAGAGAAACAAAAGCTGCTTTGCAGAGTAAATGCTGCCGTACTGTCACCCCATCCACCTTTGCAACACCCCAGATCAGTCCCCTCAAGGGACTCCCCTCTTCTCCACTGCATTGTCTCAGATGACTGCTTGTTCTTGTGATAAGCAGCGGAGGGGGGAAGATTGGGGCGAAGGAAGGGATGCTTCCCTTCACCCCCACTCTTTCTCTCACAACCTTGCAGGTGTACTTTTTAAAAAGAAGGAAATCTGGTGCCACTTGCCATAGTCAGCCTGGATAATCAGGGGGTTCGTGCGTCATGTACATGCAGTCAGGTGGATTATGCAAAATGCATGTTGTTGCACAAGCTGTCAGTCTTGCCCCTTTTGTCTCCTCTCTCTCCCAGCCCCTGTATAAAAACATAACGCTGTTTTCCCTTTCTTATAGGCTGGATCAGATCATCATTCACGTGGGGGCATTGAGTTTACCAGAATCGAAGGGATTGGTGGGTGTGTTTGCTTTGTTTTTTGGTTCTCGTTTATGTAAGCTACATCCTTATATGGAATGTGACTTTGAGACTGTGTTTATCTTGAATGCAAGCTACATCCTTATATGGAATGTGACTTCTCTTCCATAGGGGGCATAATTGCAAAGTAGTGTAGGGGGGGGGATCATGTAATTAACACTGCTGCATGCTTTTCAGCTGGTTTGTTTTGTTTGTTTCAATAGGTACCAGTTGTCTGAAGTGGCTTGTAGTTAGCAGTCTTAGTGTGAGGGAAGAAAGGTTGCTTTGGATTCCCAGGAGGAAGGGTGGGATAAATTTCCCTTTTTGTTAGCTTGTTTGGGTTTCTTTTTTTCTTCTGAGAGAAAGGGAAATAAAAGATGGCCTCCACCAGCCCTTTTCCTTTAATGGGGTGACAAAAGTCCAAGGAGTGGGATAGTTATGCTTAGGTAAATTTACTAGGGTGGGAGGGTTAGATGTCTTCTCTGCTCATTGCATGGTTCTGATTTGAACTGGGACCCTGACTGGCTAGAATTGCTTTTTTAGAAGTCCCTGGAAAGATCCACCAGTTTGGTGTAGTGGTTAGGAGCGCGGACTCTAATCTGGGAGAATCAATTTTGATTCCTCACTCCTCCACATGCAGCTGCTGGTGTGACCGTGGGTCAGTCACAAGTTCTTTCAGAGCTGTTCTTTCAAGAGCAGTCCTCGAAAGAGCTCTCTCAGCCCCACCAGTCACAGGGTGTCTATTGTGGGGAGGGGAAGGGAAAGGAGATTGTAAACCTCTCTGAGACTCCTTTGGGTAGTGAAGGACGGGGTATAAATCTAATCTCTTTTTCTTCTTCCTCTAATCACAAATGTCTCAACATCCTGTCTGTTTTGACCCTTAAATATCACACAGTGCTGGATATTCCTTATGTTACAGAGTAATAGACTGGTGCACTAGTTAACCTATGGGTCACATGTAAAAAATACATAATCTATTAGTTTATCATGGAGAAACATCTGTCTGTATATAGGATAATACAAGGGGTTTTTTTTAGATGAAGTGTTCTGTGTTACTCAAAAGCTTGCATACCCTTACATTTAGAAGCATTTAGTCTAGCACAAGCTATTATTGCATCCGTTTTGTATTCCCCCCCATGACTCACCTGACCATAATGGTCTACATATCAATACACATACATGCCTCTGACTCCTGGTATTTCTCCCTTTCCAGGCAAAGCATGCTGCCGAAATCAGAGCAGATGGCATAGCTGTCATTGCCCCGTCCTTCTTCAAACAGGTGAACAAAGGTTAGTAGGCACCTCACTGGCTGTTGGATCTCACTAATTGTGTTTTCCTCTTCCATCCCGCTGTCTGGGACTGTGTATTTGTGGTCAGGGTGTTTAAGCTGTCTGGACATGTGTAACTATCAAGAGGTGTGGTCATTTTCTGCTAACTGCTGTGGAATTAATACTTTACTCCTAGTTGGATGTTGGAAGGCACTTCCAAACCTACATTGCCTAACTGGAATTCCTTAAAACACACATAAGCACGCTGTATGTATCCTATATTATGTACAAATCAAACTTTGTGAGAGTTTTGGTTCTCACTTTTTTTAAAAAAAGCAAGTAGCAAGTTTGGGCATTTATGATACGATGTGCTGGAAGAAGTGTGTGAGAAAAACCTCAGAATGAAACCAGAAAGGTAGCCAGAGGAGGTTTTCAGTTCTCAAGGAGCAGTCCTTCGCTGCCCTGCACAAGCTGTCAGTCTTGCTCTTTGCCCTTCCTCTTGACTGACAGAGGAAGCATAAAGCAGGTAAGGTGATCATGACTGGTGCAGCTTGCTTAGACAGGCTGCGGAATGTAGGTACCTTGGCCAGAACTTTGATTCTGTGGTTTTTCTTAAGTGCAGTGTACACACAGCCTTGTATGTAGGAAAGCAGAAGTTTCCAATTACTTTCCTTGCTTCACCTCTCTCTCTCTCTCTCTCTCTCTCTCTCGTAGATGGGCTTGTTGCCTTCTTGCGTGAGGTTGCATCTGAAGCTCCTGGCATCCCATTTTATTATTACCACATCCCTCCCCTGACTGGAATAAAAAGTAAGTGTTGCTTATCCAGATCGTCCCCAGTTACATCCAGGAGAAAAGCCTGAGTCAGGTTTTTAACCATGTTAATTTGTGGCCACTTTTGGAAGTGTGAAAACAGGTGTGGGCACCCCAATAAAGTAATTGTGGACCACTTCAGAGGTCATGACTTCCACCAAAAAATCCTGGAAATTGTAGTTTTTTTGAAAATTCTGTTGGACATCCCCCAGGCCTCTCTCCGCCCACCCCACTAGGCTATAGTTTGCAGGGTTTCTCCTTTGGAACAATTAACTGTCTGTAGTCGCATTACCAATAATTCTGTATTTCCTCATCACGGAAGGGAGTACTTCCTGGGCATTCTTCCCACATGTTTACCACTCTGAAATGAGAGACTGTTTGCAGTACACCATGGAACAGAATGACAACCTGCACCATGCTGTTCTGCTGCCAGCATCATAAATACTAAATCTAGTGTTAAACCTCGCCCAAGAAGTCTTGAAAATTTGTGACTCATGCCCTGACCTGGATAGCCCAGGTAAGCCCGATCTCCTCAGATCTGGGAAGATAAGCAGTGCCGACTCTGGCAAGTACTCAGATGGGAGACCTCCAAGGAATACCAGAGGCAGGATGCAGAGGCAGGCTAGTCAAGCCACCCCTCTGAAAAATGTCCAAGCCCCCAGTAGGGGTTGCCAGATGTCACCCATGACTACCAGGCAAGCACACAAACACATTTTTTTTTAAAAAAAGAAAATCTGTGACTCACCCATCCGCTCACTCTTCCTCTCTTTCTCCTTTCTCTCCCTCCCTCCCTCTCTTTGCAGTCAGCGTTGAAGAGCTACTAGATGGGATGAAAGAGCAGATCCCTACCTTTCAGGGCGTGAAGTTCAGTGACAAAGACCTCCTTGACTTTGGACGGTGTGTCAAGAAAAACAACCAAGGCCAGTTGGTGCTTCTGTACGGGGTGGATGAGGTAAGGGATTTCTATACCATCACTTCTTTTTTTATAGAACTGCAAGGCAACCATGCAAAGAACAGGTGCTGAAGCCGTGCTTCAGGTCCACTGGAATGTTTCTGCAGATGGAATGGTTTCTGCCTGTGGATTATGCCTTTCTCACCTTCATTCTCCTGCTACAGCCCCAAATGCCCCCTCCCTCATTGGCATTTAAAGTGGCATTTTGAGCTGCAGTGGGGAAGGGGAAGGCAAGGAAGTCACACTTCCATGAGCAGAAATCCTTCAACCCATGGAAGCGCTCTAGTGGATCCAAGCCAATGTCTCTTGTGTTAGACCCACACAGGAAGCTGCCTTATTACTGAACCAGACCATTTGGTCCATCGAGGTCAGCATTGTCGACTCAGACTGGCAGTGGCTCTCCAGGGTCTCCGGCAGAGATCTTTCACATCACCTACTGCCTGGTCCTTTTCAGCTGGAGATGCCCAGGTTTGAACCTGGGATCTTCTGCATGGCAGGTAGAGGCTCTCCCACTGAGCTGCAGCAACTCCCTAAAGAGTAAATCTAGTGTCTGGTGGATCCCAGCCTCTTCTGGTGGCCAAACCAGCAACATGTTGTTTTTCTGAATTCAGAGGCTCATTCCGCATGAGGAACTTATCAGCCATCTGAACTGGGACTGATCGGCTACCTGACAGCCCTGGGGAACCCTGGGGAACTTTAGCATGAAGGTGAATGGCTGGGAGAAGAGGCCCTGGGTGGGAGCCCAAGCAAATGGTGGCGGTGCGGGGTGGGGGTGGGGAGGATAAATGGCCGCTGCGGCAGGAGAGCGGGGAGGGGACCGTGAGTGTAGGAAGCACAGCACAGACAACAGGCCAGCCACCCTGCCCCTCCAGTCCCTGTATTCCCTCCACTCTTCTGTATGTGGCCAGTCTTACCATGGCTATGTTTCTTTTCTTCCGCTGAGGGTGAGAATGGCTCTCCCGCTGTTCTGCTGGCGAAGTGAGCTGTCACTCACAAAAGCTTAGGCTGGAATAAATGTCATTAGTCTTTAAGGTGCCGTGTGGGACTCCTGTTGATCTTATGGAAATTTAAAAGAAAAACACTTTCCCTCCCTAGCAACTCCTGAGCGCACTGATCATGGGAGCAGACGGGGCAGTTGGCAGGTCAGTCTCTCTTTCGCTTTCTGTCCCCGGTGCGTGGGGGATAAAAATGCTTCTTTGATTTTCTGGGTCGCACCTCCTCCCGCGTCTCATTTGCCAAATACTGTTTTGATGGTCCTAGTGTCTGCCTGGCTGCAGACCTTTTCTGCCTACCTTAATCTGCGGTGGCTCAAGTGGTTAAGACGCTGAACTGCAGGCTGTGGAAGGTCAGTAGTTCAGCAGTTCGAGACCCGGGTGCCGCATGACGGGGTGAGCTCCCGTCTCTAGTTCCAGCTCCTGCCAACCTAGCAGTTCGAAAGCAAGAAATTGCAAGTAGATAAATAGGGACCACTTCGGTGGGAAGGTAACAGCGTTCCGTGCGCCTTGGTGTTTAGTCATGCCGGCCACATGACCACGGAAACGTCTTCGGACAGCGCTGGCTCTTCGGCTTTGAAACGGAGATGAGCACCGCAACCCTAGAGTCGGATTCAACTGGCTTTCGAGCAAGGGAACCTTTACCTTTACCTTTAATCTGATAAGCTGTGCACATTTCCTGTTGCACCTCTTCTCCACTAGACCATCACTGGAGTGAGTAGCATTGTGGCTCAGGGCTGGTTTGCACAGATCTGTTCATCAGGGTTCACCATGTGAAGACTTTCCCCTGAAAAGTCTTCTGTTTGAATTGGCTTCAGGAAAATCAGTGGAGGAACTGCCTCCAAGTTAGTGCCTACATTTTAGCCAGGTATCTGTTGAGAGCCAAATTATTCAAATAGGATTTAACTCTAGCTGAAGTTTAACCCTCACCTACCCAGCAGAACACCCCAGGGATGTGCCAGTACTAAAGTCTGGAAATAATTTCCTCACTTTCCAGGCTACCCTATATTGCTCAAACCATCCCACTTATTTTTATTTTTATTTTTTTTAAAAGAAAAGCTTCAAGGAGCGCGTGTGGGTACACACACACACACGTTGTGAACCTCTATTTTGTGAACTTTTGTTTTTTATTTCATTTTCTTGGCTAGTTACGCACCCCACTCCTGCTATGCTGGAACGTGCATGTGGCCACATTTTTTTTAAAGCATCCATTTCTCCTCCTGCCCCTCCAAATCCAATGTGGATGGGTTATCAGCACCACAGAAACTTGGCTTAGGGCTTTTGGGAATACTGCTAAGGTTAAAGGGCAGTTGATGGGACGCGTAATTTTAATTCTTATGGGAAGGTCTTGAGCAGAGAGCTCACCAGTGCAAAGGTCCTTCAGGGCCTACGTTTCTTGCCAGCTACGTGGAATGCGCGGATTTTCCCGAGACTGTAATCGAAGGGGCGGCGTGGAGGGAGCTGGTTCTCTGATGTCGGCTGAGATGAAGCTCTCTTTCGTAACTGGGTGCTCGGACTGAATGCCCGTGACTGGGAGCAAATAAAGGAACTCTATGTCGGGCTTGGTCATGGTAGGTCTAACCCATCCACATTGGTGATAACCCATCCACATCCATGCCATTTCTGTATAGGGAGATACGTTCAGAATTGCTATCCTTGGTTGGTCTATTTTAACTGCTGTGAGGGGTGCCAACCAGTGTTCCCTCTAAGGTGTGGAGTCTTGTGAGCAAAAATTCTACTTTGTGAGCTACTGGCATTAAAGTTGTGAGTGAGCAATTTAGCTACTGCATACATTAGTTTGCTCTGGAGCCATCCTTCCTGAGCTAAGACAAAAATGTGTGAGCCGGAGACTAAAAAACTGTGAGCTAGCTCACACTAACTCAGCTTAGAGGGAACACTGGTGCCAACGCATCTTTTGATAGTGATTTCCTCCCTGTATTTTCTTTACAGCACCTATAACTACCTGGGCAGGGCAAGTAACTTACTTTTGGAAGCTTTCAGCAATGGAGATAACGTCTTAGCACAAAAATATCAGGTATAACTTTTGTGTGTGAAGCTTATTATGACCGAGGCTTATGGGTTTTTTTCCTTAGCCTCTGATTGTGTATTTGAAATGAATGCAATACATACTCTAACCCCAGAGCACATAACTCCATAAATGTACCCCGATAAGCTGGGGACAATCAGCTTGTGAAAACAGGCACGTATCATTCACTGGATGAGAGCCGCATGCTCCTCATCTCGTCTAGTTGTCAGAGGTCCCTCTGCATTTTAAAATGTTGAAAATCTGTCTCATATGGAGGTGGAGGAGCTAGATCCAGTCCTGTCTTCCCTATGGGGTTGCTGAGAGGCCATCTTTTGGAAAGGAATAATAAACAAGGACATCCACTGTGAAATATAGCACTACCAAAGTAAAGACAAAATAATATTATAATGGAAATACTTTGAAAAGGGGCATGCTGTCGACTCCTTCTCCACATCTCCTCTGTTGGATCCAAGAGATGGAATGCAATGCAGCATTATAAATCTTCCTATGTTGTTCTCTTTTTTAGTTTTCTACTCAGGAATTCCTCAGCTTTGTAATTGCGCAAGGTAGGTACTATTGGTAGCTTTCTTCTTCTTTGCCCTTTCTGCATATCTCGGATATTATAATGTGGATTGGGATTCAGAAGCATTCACACAAGTCCTTGGGTTTCCATCAACCCAGAAATTTCCTGGTTATATGTGCCCTGTTAGGGCTCCCTTCAAGTATTTCTTTTTGTCCTTTTAAAAATTCCCTTTAATATTGTCTTCTGGTTGCATTTTTCCTCCTTTCTAATTTTTCTGACTTCTTTGTCCAACTGCATTCTAATATTCGGTATCTAGGAGGCATTTAAAATTAAACAATGGTGCATATACTATATATTTAGCAACACTTCAAACATTAAAATGGTGTACGTTTCTTGAATGGTCAAGGTACTGTCTGTTCCAGTGTGTTAAAAATAGCTCTGAAAGGAGATTTCTTGTATAATATACCCTGTAACTCTTTGTTATATGTTACCTTGGTGATGTCCATAGAATTTAGCTGAACTGCAAAAGAAACACGTTTTTTGACAGAATTCTTTTTGACAGGAACATCACTGAATTTATTGATTATTGACATATTTGTTGCCAGTGGTTGACTTTCCTGAGAGCTGGTATGGCATGGCAGCTAATGGCCAAGCTATGTGTTGCAATAGTTGACGGGTTGTGTCGGGGTTCCTCCAGCATTACTTGTAAACCGTCAGTCACGTCACACTCATGGGAACGAATTTCCCAAATGCGTGGAGTACTGAACCCGGTTAGGACCATGGTACAAGGGGATTAGTCATGAGAACCAGTTTGGTGTAGTGGTTAAGTGTGCGGACTCTAATCGGAGAGAACCGGGTTTGATTCCCCACTCCTCCACTTGCCCCTGCTGATGTGGCCTTACCTTGGGTCAGTCACAAGCTCTGGCACAGCTGTCCGTGAAAAAGAGCAGTTTGTGTCAGAGTTCTCTCAGCCCCTCCCACCTCACAGGGTGTCTGTTGTGAGGAGGGGAAGGGAAAGGAATTTGTAAGCTGCTCTGAGACTCCAAGTGAAGGGCGGGGTATAAATCCAATCTCTTCTCTTCTTCTTCTTTAGTCTTCCCCCCATACCATAGTCTTGACCTGAATCAGGGTCCCTATGCATATGGAGAATTAGTTCTCCTCAGTGTGATATTGCAAGAACCCCAGCATGACTTCTCACGTATTTGTAACGTAGCTTGGTTCTACATGTAACGTTGGCAATATGTGGTCTTGCCCCTTCTATGAACTTAGTCAGTCACTGTCTCTAGGCCCCCTGCGGTATGGTGCATAGTAATGATGACCCACCTTGCAGGATGGTTGTTGGGATTATGATGTACATGAAGCATTTTCAGCACGGAAAAGCATTCTATAAATGCAAAATTTGTCTTGCCTCAAGTGCAGAAACGCCAACACAATGGAAGGGAAGGGGTGGGGGTGGCCACTGCAGCAAGCAAGCAGTGTCCGAGTGGGAGCCATTTGACTGCTGTCCCAACACACCTCCACCCTTCTGGTTCCCACTTGCCTAGCAGGATGACTTTTCCTGCCCCTGTGGAAGCAGACTCTGGGTGTGATAGCGAGGATACAGAGGGGGGAGTCATATCTTGAAGAGATTATTTGTCTTTAATGACGTCTTGTTTGCATTTATTTTTGGCTAGGCTTTGGCGTTGCACAGACCAAAGCAGTCATGACCTTGGTTTCAGGGATACCGATGGGTCCCCCACGACTTCCGCTGCTGAGTGCCTCTGAGGAATTTATTGCCAGAGTAAAAGCCAGACTGGAGGGCGTGAAGAATTGCCCATATAGTTAACATCAGTGTGGTCACAAAAGTGCGGTCCCTGTGACCATCCAGTATGGTTTGAAAAGTCATCTGTGAGATATGCACTGACTGAACAACTTTCATGAAGGGATTTGTTCCCGTTCTGGCCATCCCAATGTGCGTCCTTTTAACCGTGACTATAGGAAACAGCCCTACAGCAGCGACAATTCTCTGACAAAGACACTAACTTCTCTGAAGAAGCACGCGCCACTGAAATCGTAGAATTCTTCCACATATGGGAAAGAGGGGGATGCAATGATGGTTGAATTGACCGATTCTGATGTATTTCTTGCCATTTTATGTGAAAATGTTGGGCAATATGAATGTAATTAGACCTAGCAGGCCTTAATTTTGCTTTGTATTTACAAAGCCTGTACACTCAAGAAGCGCCAATAAAAATGGACATTATCTAGACTTGTGCCTGAGTTTGCGAGGTGTATTGTGTCTTCCTGAATGTTTTGGTATCTAACGACCACATCTCCCATGGCTAATGAATGCTAACGGCTGGTTTAAAGTGTGGAGTGTGTGTTGAGGAAAGGGCTAAAGAACACACATGAAACTGCTGCTTTATACTGAATCAGACCATCAATCTATCAAGGTCAGTGCGTTGCCTATTCAGGCTGACAGCAGCTTTCCAGGATCTTAGGCAGAGGTTTTTCATATCACCCACCTGATCCTTTTCAACCAGAGACGGTGGGGTTTGAACCTGGGACTTTCTGCATGCCAAACAGAGGCATTTCCACAGAGGCACTGCTTCTCCCGTGAAAACAGTTGTGGCTGTAGTCCTGAACCAGTTAGCTGTGAACTCCCATCAGTTTAATTTCCAGTTGATTTTGTTCCCTCTAGGAAGTTTTTCATTCCTTTTTAAAAAAAATGATGGATGTTACTAGAATTTAAACATTTGCAATGTGCTTGACATCACATGGCTCTTCTTTTCTGTGGTGATCTTCATGAACAGGCAAGAATATGGTCAAGTTCTCTGAAGACTAAGACGCAGCCTCAAAACTGCTTTTCTCCGGTTTTGAAATTAATATTAAGGTGTCCCTTTAATTCTAACAAATGCAATATTAAAAATATCATCAGCTGCATCTGTTGGTTTAGAGAGGTTTGAGCAATATTCCTCATTGTTACCCAGGTGTTGTGTATAAATAATATTTAGCAAGCACTGCAAATGGATCAGTTATCACACTGAAAGTTTAGTTAAGTGAAGCTGCTCATAAAATCTCTCAGCCATCTTTTGCACATGGTACAATACCCCAAGATGGGCTTGCCACCCTCCTGGTGACAGCTGGAGATCTCCCAGTATTACAGCTGATCTCCAGATGACCAAGATCAATTCCTTGGAGAAAACGGCTGCTTTGTTGGGTGGACTCTATGGTATTATATCCTGTTATAAGGTCCCTTCCCTCCTCTGACTCAGCCTTCCCCAGGCTGCACCCCCCAAAAAAAAAAAAATTATCCGGGTATTTTCCAAGCCAGAGCTAGCAACCCTATCCGGAGATGTAGTAGCCTGATCCTATTCATATTGCACATTCATATTACGTGTAACATGTCTTCCTGCTAAATAAGAGAGGATAAAATTGCAGCACTCTGTTGTAAGAAGGATGTACCACAATTTACAGTGACATTACAAATGGAGTTTCTACCCTTCCCTATACTGCGACAGGTTTTAGTTCTCCCCTTCGCCACGGAGACGTTTTGGCTCGTTTCAAGCCTCGTTAGTACTGCAATGTCTCGGCTCACCACGGGAGGCGCGCGCGCGCTCAAGGCAGCTTGCTAAGGCTCTAGTCTAAGCGCTGGTCAGGCGCTCTCGGTTTGCGCACGCGCGAAACAGCCGCCATCTTGTAGGTACGGCTTGAGAGCGACGGAGGGGCGTGCGGAAGGAGGACAGCTGGTGAGCAACAACAGGAAAAGGCACTACTGGTTGACGCTTAAGGTAGAGTTCTAGATTGCAGGGCAAAGTGACATATGCGAGAGTTACTTTAGTTGCAGGCTTGTATTTATTACTATGAGACCAACGTGGCTGGTCAGAGAGATGGGGGGGGGTGAGGTAAGGGATAGGAGCTAGTAATGCGCAGGCGCGACAATTAACTGCGACAGAGGTGCGCATGTCCGGGACCGGTTGACGATTCCGCCGAAAGAGTTTAGAGGTGAGCGCATGCGCCGACAGAGCCACCGGGAAAGGGAGGGAGACGGGAGCACGCTTGCGCAGTTGTGCTCGCTGAGGTGTTCGCTTCCGTGACTTCTTCCAGGGCTCATCCCCGGCGTTCTCGCAATGGGGGACGTGAAGAATTTCCTCTACGCCTGGTGCGGCAAGCGGAAAGTCACGCCAGCCTACGAGATCCGCGCCGTGGGCAACAAGAACCGGCAGAAGTTCCAGTGCGAGGTGCGTTTGGGAAGCGGGGATAAGGCCCGTCCTTTGCTAGGTCGAAGTTGCATTGGAATAAACTCAACACATAATAGGAGGGAGAAGGGAATTGGGGGAAAGCCGGCTGGGAACGGATGCGGCCGATTACTGTCATGTTTGCAAACATGTTCCCACCCCCTGGGTATGCAACTTGGCATCCACCTCTGAGTTCTCTTCCTGTGGCTGAGCCTGGGATGCATCAGATTATTTAATTAATTTGTAGCCCACTTTTCTCTCCAATGGTGTCTCAAAGTGGCTTACATCATTTTCCCCTCCTCCATTTTATACTCACAACAGCCCTGTGAGGTAGGTTAGGCTGGGAGAGTCTGACTGGCCAAGGTCACCCAGCGAGCGTCTATGGCACAAGTGGAGATTAGAACCTGAGTGTCCGAGTTATTAGTCTGAGATCAAGATATTAGCTGTGTTAGTATGCCTGTGGCAGTAGCAAAGAGCAGGAATCCAGTAGCACCTTAAGGACTAACAAAATTTGTGGCAGGGTATGAGATTTTATTTATTTATTTTTAGATTTGTATCCCGCCCTCCCAATGGCTCAGGGTGGCTAACCTGCAGCAGAGCCGAATTAAATAGATAAAATACAATAAAATAGACAACATTTAAAACCACAATAAAACCCATACAATAATCAAGGTGCTCTCATCTTCCTGTGTAAGTCATCCAAGATGGGAAACAATAAACCCAATTCGGCGGCCAGCTGTCTCAATAGTGCGGTCTCCCTCAGCGCTCTTCTATACGCTTCTGCCAGGCGATGCTTGCATCCCATGATAGGGGCAGACGATGATGCACTACCACGATGGTGGGATAGTGGTGGCGGCAGCTCCTACTCAAAACCCTGGCGGAAGCGCTCCATCTTACAGGCCCTGCGGAACTGTGATTAACTTCTCACTTCAGAAGTGAGCAGTGACGCATGAAAGCTCATACCCTGTCATAAACTTTGTAAGTCCATAAGGTGCTACTGGACTCTTGCTGTTTTCTACAGCTACTAGTCTGATATTCTTAACCAGGCCCGTAGCCAGAAACTTAATTAGATTACTAGTTAGATTAGATTAGTTCCCGGGAAGGTCACTTAGGGGTCTTCCCTTTCCGAGCGGCCCTGCCCCTTCTGGACAGTTTCACTCCCCTCCTAGCAGCTGATCAGAGGGGAGTGAAACTGACCAGAAGTGACAGGGCAGCTTCCTTTTCCTTCCCCAGTTTTCCTACTGCTGCAGTGGGCTGGGGAAGGAAAGGGAAGCCAACCTATTGTTTCTGGTCAGTTTCACTCCCCTTCAATAAACTGTTAAACTTAACAGCTGATTGGAGGGGAGTGAAATTGACCAAAAGCTGCAGGGCAGCTTTCCTGGAAGAGGGTAGGGGCAGGGTTAGGGAGCATGGCGCAGTGGGGGGGGGTGTCCTGGCATCCTCCCAGGGTGGAGCAGGGCTCATCCCTGGTGGGGCTCTGCTCCCAAATGCTCCACCGTGACTACGTCCCTGCTTTTAACCACTACAGCTGATATTTGGGAAAGCTTTATGGGAAGAGGGTCCCTGTTTCAATCCTAGGCATCTCCAGTTTTTATTGATTTATTTATCTTCAATTTATATCCTACCCTCCCCGCAAAGTAGGCTCAGGGCGAGTTCCAACCTGGGATAATCTGCTGAGTACAGATTTACAACAATAAAAACAAGATAAAATACATACAATAAATACAATAAAATAGCTACAGCAATAAATACTGTAAAATAAATTATACCTCAACAGATGCATGAGTGTGACTCATTGGGGGAGGAGGGGGGAGGCCAGATTGAGATGGATATCCACTGCCTCAACTGAAGGCCTGGCGAAAGAGCTCTGTCTTGCAGGCCCTGCGGAACTGTAAACGCTCTCACAGGGCCCTAATTTCTGATGGGAGCTCATTCCACCTGGCAGGGGGCAGGTCTGAGAAGGCCCTGGCTCTTGTTGAGGTAAGTCAGTCATCCCTAGGGCCGGGGACCGTCAGCAGATGTTGATTTGTAGACCATAATGCTCTCCAGGGCTCATATGGGGAGAGGTGGTCTTGAAGATATACAGGCCCCTAGCCATATAGGACTTTAAAGGTAAGAACCAGCACCTTGAAATGGATCCAGTATTCCATTGGCAGCCAGTGCAGTTTGCACAGCACCGGACGGATGTGAGCCTGCACAGCCAACAACGTCAATACCCATGCTGCTGTGTTCTGCACCAGCTGCAGTTTCCAGAGCAGGGTAAAGGGCAGGTCCACATAGAGAGAATTACAATTCTCTAGCCTGGAAGTGACCATTGTGTGGATCACCACAGCCAGGTTACAACGGGCGAGATATGGGGCCAACTGCCTGACCCGCCTCAGAAAAAAGCTGACCTGGCTGTGGCAGTGACCTGGGCCTCCATAGACAATCCAGGAACACTCCCAGCCTCTTCGGTGCTGGTACCAGCTGGGCCCTGCCAAAGGCTGGGAGCCTGATGTCCAAACTTGGCTCCCCATGGGTTGTAGGTGATATAATTCATGAACATGCTTTTTGATCTAACAAGGTCATATTGTTTGTTCTGCAGGTCCACATAGAGAGAATTACAATTATCTAGCCTGGAAGTGACCATTGTGTGGATCACCACAGCCAGGTCACGAGTCGACGGGCGAGATATGGGGCCAACTGCCTGACCCGCCTCAGAAAAAAGCTGACCTGGATGTGGCAGTGACCTGAGCCTCCATAGACAATCCAGGAACACTCCCAGCCTCTTCGGTGCTGGTACCAGCTGGGCCCCACCAAAGGCTGGGAGCCTGATGTCCAAACTTGGCTCCCCATGGGTTGTAGGTGATATAATTCATGAACATGCTGCCTTCTGATCTAACAAGGTCATATTGTTTGTTCTGAGTGGCTGTGGTGTTCAGTGGTCTCAGCCTGATGTCTTTCACATCACCTGCTATCTGATCTTGTTAACTAGAGATACCAGGGACTCATCCTGGGAACATGCAAAGCAAGATG